CAGCATGCCGTTTTTCTTCTTATCACGTATTACATTTAAGGCCCAACTGAGATATGTTGGTACCCTGGGCTAGCTAACAACTTGCCATTCTTTAGATCAATATTCTTTAAATACTTAGCTGGGCTGAGGTTCTGTCCATTTCATATCGTTTTGTTGTTAGTCAAGCATATCCATGTGAAAGTTTTACCCCACACTCCCAAACCCTAACCACACCTTCCGAGCATCACAGTAAAAATATTTCTCCCAACCATATATAACACCCTCCGTGAAAATACTGTTGTCAAATACCACTTTCTCTATCTGCAATTATAATTAATCTCTGTCCTGGGAAAATCCATGGCTATTCTATGTTTCATCCAATTCTGTCTACAATTACCAGTTATTTGTACAATTTTCTATTTTATGTTGATATCTGCGAATAGACTATAAACATTCAGATAGAAAAGGCATCTGTTTTGTTCAACACTGTATCCCTGGTGCCAAAAAAATGCCTAATACATGACAGACGCTCAATAAGTGCTTGAATAACAAATTACTCAATCCATAAGCTATGTTATTTTAGACATGAATGTGTCTATCAAAAGTCCTTTGTATAATGTGACATAGAGAATTTACTTCTCTACCAGAGACCAGATATGTTATACCAACTTTCAAAATTATTAGCCAGTATAATCAGTGACATTTATTGGCGTTAGTTTTCTATTTTCATTACCAGCATTTTGAAAATTCAACTCCTTTGCCGTATTTTCTTTTGCTCATCCATACCAAATACACAAGTCCTAAGTGGGAATGGAAATAGGGGATCCCTTTATCACTCAGGCATTTCATTGCTGGCCTAATGCCCAACTGCATATGTGCAAAATAAAGACTTAAGGAACTACCGAAATACCCTTTCCTTTATTCTTTTTGGAAGTAGGCAGACTTCCTCCACTAGACACTTTTACCATCATCTAATTAGTCAGTTAAACAATAAAAAACTTATAAAATACCATAGCAATATTTATAGAATGTGGTGATTATAAAAACTTAATATCAACTAATAAAAACAGAAAATATGGGGTGTTTCCAGACAATTTCTCATACTAAACTCTCATCCCTTATAATTTGTTGTAGTAAACACTTAGAGAGGCATTTCTGTACCAACTTCTCAGAGCAGTTTTTCATTTTAAAATTCAGGAAGTTTTTATTTCCTCCAACTTTCTGTTTTTACAAAATAGAGAAAAACATTCTGAACATTATTGCTTTGTGTGTTTGAGAGGGGAGATAATAATTATAAATAACTGCAAACATATATGGATAGCTGAATAATGCTAGACATTTATACATAAGCTCTTGCTTAATCTTCCTAAGAATCTTCAAGGATCGATCATGTTTTTAATCCCATTTTATCACTAAAGAAAAGAAAGATTAGTGAGACTAAATAACTTTCTAAATCCAAAGCTGTGAAGGAGAGACCCAGAATTCTAACTCGTACCTTCTTGATTCCAAATCCCACGCACCTAATGCCCACATCACAGTCCAGTGTGTTTATGGCTATATATTCATTTTTTATATAAGAAAACTTTTGAGTAAACAACACTAAATATAACTAACAAATATACTCATGTAGAGAACAAATTACAGCCTGAGTTTTAATAAAGTTTTTCTGCACAGATATATTTTCCAGAAAATTAAATTTTGGCATTTTGGCAATATGCTTTATAATTCACTTTAAATAAAAATAATCTCTCTCATAAAAAATGATAATGGTAAATAAAAGAGATATCTCTTTTTTCCTTCATTAGTGCACCAAAATTATAAAGAGGTCATGAACAATGTTAAAATCAATCAATTTCAGAATAAAAGCAGTATTTCCCTTAAGTGGTATCAGACAAAGAGTGGATTCTATGTTCTATGGTATACACATACACACAGATCTATAATAATAAAAGCATAATATGCTAATTAGACTGGACGTCTTTCCGGATGAAGCCAGGGCTGTGAGGGAAGCCCGGGTCCCATGTTCCTGCTGGCGGCCAGAGGGAGGCCTGGATCCCAGGTACCGGAGGGAAGCCGGTGCCAGCAGCCAGGGGAAGGAAGGCCTACTCTTGCATGAATTTCGTGCATCAGCCTCTAGTATAAAATAATGTAACATGCAAGATTATATTTTTGTCATTTGCTAATTCCTATTTCTTAAAAAATATATATAAAAACATCTATAATTACTGTGCTGTACACCTGAAACTAATACAAAATAATATTGAATGTAACTTTAATTTTCAAAAATAAAAACAACAGAAGGAATTGGACAGTTTTAATAGATATGGAATAAGTTGGGAGAAAATAAAGTCCAAAATACAATGTGGAAAAATCTATAATTATAAAAGACCAGAGGACTGGTGTACAAAATTCATTCACTGTAGAGGAGGGTCCCTCAGCCTAGTCTGTGTCCTCTTGCAGTCTGGGACCCCTGGGGGGATGTCTGGGACCCCTCGCTCCTTACCGCCCGCCTGCTCGCTGCTCCTTAGCAGAGGCGGGAGAGGCTCCTGCCATCGCCGCTGCGCTCGCCAGCCATGAGCCTGGCTTCTGGATGAGCGGCGCTCCCCCTGTGGGAGAGCACTGACCACCAGGGGGCAGCTCCTGAGTTGAGTGTCTGCCCCCTGGTGGTTAGTGCACATCATAGCAACCGGTCGTTCTGGTCGTTCCACCATAACAGTCGCTTAGGCTTTTATTATATGGACCAGTAGCCCTGCGCACGAATCTGTGCGCCAGGAGGTCGCTGATGCCCTCCTGTAGCTCTCCGCCCACTGGCCCGCCCTTCTGTAGCTCCCCCCGCCCCCCCCATAGCTTGTTGCCCTGCCCTCTCCTGTAGCTCTCTGCTGCCCACTTATAGCCAGTAGGTCACTGATGCCCTCCTGTAGCTCTCCGCCCACTGGCCCGCCCTCCTGTAGCTCCCCCCAACCCCCCCATAGCTTGTTGCCCTGCCCTCTCCTGTAGCTCTCTGCTGCCCACTTATAGCCAGTAGGTCACTGATGCCCTCCTGTAGCTCTCCGCCCACTGGCCCACCCTCCTGTAGCTCCCCCCAACCCCCCTCATAGCTTGCTGCCCTGCCCCCTCCTGTAGCTCTCCACAGCCCGCCTGTACCTGGCTGGCCCACCCTCCGCTGATCTGTGATCTGGTCATGACACGCTTGGTCGTTACACCTCGAGTAATGGCTAATTAGCATATTCCTCTCTTATTATATAGGGTAATAAATACCTGATGTGTCATCAGTTATGTTATTATTTAAATCTATTAGCTCATTCTGTTCAAAAGTATAAGTAATATCAAAGAGGGTTTAGCTTAACTAAAATCCATAAAAAGGCTCCCTACTCACTCTTTTTCTTCTAGCTATTCATGAAGAGGATGGTGGAACTCGTTCCTGGCCTTTGCCCATAAAAGCACAAAAGGGAAATTGTCAGTAAGTATAGTATACTTCTCAAGATCGCAGCCTAAAATCTCTGATTGCTATGAGTTATGAGATTTTTCACTTGGTAAAACTGGGAAGGTAAAATGTATTTCATGTGCTATGAAAAAAGTCATAGCACTACTCACGAACACTAACTTGCCAAAAGTGAATGCACAGCTCTGTAGTATATGTTTGCAAAAATTTCTCTAAGTACACAATCCAATGTTATTCCTACGCATTGAAGCCAGCCTTACATAACAGCCTAAATATACAGGTTTACTAGCATTTATGGAAGGCAATGTTTTATGTATTCATCAATCGTCTTTTAATTATAGGCCACTGATGGTGAACCTATGACACACGTGTCAGAGGTGACACACGAACTCATTTTTTTGGTTGATTTTTCTTTGTTAAATGGCATTTAAATATATAAAATAAATATCAAAAATATAAATCTTTGTTTTACTATGGTTGCAAATATCAAAAAATTTCTATATGTGACACGGCACCAGAGTTAAGTTAGGGTTTTTCAAAATGCTGACACGCCGAGCTCAAAAGGTTCGCCATCACTGTTATAGGCCTCAATAGTAATATGGTATTCAAAGTAAAAATAAAACATAAAGTCTTAGTCCATCATTTCAAAGTTCTGAAGACAAAATATATACATTTGTATTCAGTTTAAAAGGGAATGAATCAATGATCATAGGCATTTTACATTTCTATAGAAGGGTGGCTTACTTTAGATTAATGGGAAGGGAAAAAGAAAAATCCCAAACATGATGCTGTTACAAGTTCCTTCTAATAAATTGTGGGAAAAAAAGAACTTAGAAATAGATAAATAACTTCATGCTCAGCTATAAACTATCATATATAGTTAACTATATTATTATTATTATTAAAGTCATGTAGCAAAGTATCTTCCTGCCTTCTAAACCCTAGAGGGAATATTAATATTGCATGTTGAAATATTTCCATCATACTGAGCCATCCAGCTATTTAAAATAATAACTTAAGACATATATAAAGATAAGAACTCAAGCTACATGATAATTTTGTAGCCAAACACCTAACTTTAAAATTCTTTTAATGGCCACTTAACAAGTTACTTAAAAGTGAATGATCAGATTTCAAGCATTACAACTTCATGGCATTTTATATCATTGTCATCCAAGTAAGTTCCAATCTGAAAAACTGCAAGAAGAAACATCCTGATTCACTTTTTAAAAATTTCTCAATGGAAAATTTCTATGAGAGATTTATGCATTTATACTTACAAGCAGTTACTCTATAGATTGTCCTTTCCATCTGGGTATTTGCAGGTAAACGTTATTTTGCAAATTTAAAGATTTGAATTCTGACATTAAATGACTTGATACATAAAATATATAGTAAGTAACATTGAATTGTATACCTATGTAAACCTGAGTTTAGTTCTTGCTCTCAATGGCTCTGTGCTGGACACAGAACTCGATTGGGTGTAGTGTATTGGATGTGATTTAGGGTTCACTCACTGAATAAAAGAAGAGTTACCTCTAGTGCTGAAATAAATCGAGGCTTCACTTGTGTCTCTTACCTTTGCCATGACTTCTCCCATCCTCCAAAAGCGGCACTACAATAGTGTTGTTCACATTTCCAGGTGATCGCACGGCTGTGTAGACAACAGGCACCGACTGTACCACCACGGGGATGCGGTGAACGTGACTCAGTTTGTTAGACTGTAAATTCATGGGACTTGACGGTGGTACAGGATGGATAATGTGCAAAAACTGCTGGCCTCCTACACCAGATGCCGAGGCAACAAGGGGCCCTGGAGTTAATACTGTTGACGAAGATGATGCTGAAGATACTGATGTTATAACAGTTGGGGAGGAGGCTGGACGACTAGAAGACGATGAAGAGGTTGAAGTTGAAGAAGGTGAGGAGGCAGACGCTGTCATGGAAACTGGGGAGGATGAAACGGCTGTGGGGGATGTCCTGGCTTTGTTGATAGACAAGTCCACTGGCTCAGTTTGTGTTTGGAAGTGATCTACAGACAACGAGTCCTCCGGGGGCTCCCCTTTCACATTATTTAACAACAGAGGAACAGCTTCCATATCGGGGTAGTTGTGGACGTTCGGAGACTGTGGGGAGAAAAAGGGAACACACATTTATCTTTGTTGGTCACACATTTTAATAGATGCAAGATTTTTACTGGAATGATTATTAATTTTTCTCTTATTGCTATGAGACATTAATCTGTTCCCCAAATATTTCAAGGATTGCTCTGTGCCAATTGTGATTAAAGTTGAGAGTACAAAAGTACCAGACAGAGTAACACAGGCCTCTGCTATAAAGACACTTCCATCCTGTTGGGAGAGACAGGCAGAGCCGTTAAAATCCAGTGAAATAAGTGTGTTATGGAGGAGGAAGGAGGACATAGGAACCTAATAGTGAACAGCATTTTATAGAAAATGTTCTAAAAGACAAGTTTAGTATGTAAAGCATTACCTACTTAAAACTATAAATACAACCTATTTAATTAAAAACATTCATTTTGTTGGTTTTACCCATTCTTCATTTATGAGTCTCAATTTCCTCAGTTATAAACTAATGGAATTCTGATTAGATAACCGTAAACATCATTCCAGCTCTAGGTTCCACAATTTTACAATCTAACCCTTATCCAACATTATCATAATCTGGAGGCATAATGTTACCTGGCAACAATACTGGGAAAACGTTCATGTTTGCTGAAAAAGATACCGTACAATTCTCATGAGCATTAATACAAATCATTTCTAACAATCAGATTATAACTTAACTTAGTGATGACAACATTTTTTTCTCGAAATAATTTACACAACTACTAGAATGTACCTTTCAGAAAATAATCATTTCAGGGAAAACATTTTTTCTGGAAATTTTAAATGGTCTATGACTATCTTATTTAACTTAAGATAATGATAATAATTTGACCAAATTCAATTTAATTCTTTTAATGTTTTTTTAAAATGTTTTTATTGATTTGGGAGAGAGGAAGGGAGGAAGGGATGGAGAGAAAGGGGGTGGGGGGGGAGAGAGAGAGAGAGAGAGAGAGAGAATGAGTCTCATGGATGTTAGAGAGAAACATCAATGGGCTGCCTTTCATATGTGCCCCAACCAGGGATCAAACATGTGCCCTGACTGGGAATCGAACCCGCAACCTTTCATTGTATGGGCTTACAACCAACTGACCCACCTGGCCAGGGCTCATTCTTTTAAGTTTTAATGAGCAAATTTTAATAATAATAATAATAATAATAAAAGACTCCAAGATTTTACCCAGACTGATGGACGCAGCATTTTATTCCTGGGCATTAATATAATTTATATACTCAATTACTCATAAATTCAACAAGCATTTATTGGATGCCTACTTCTGAGGCCCGTAATGGCTCAAGCGTTCACTTGGCACGTGTCAGCCTTAACGGAGAGTTCATATCTAACTTGACCAGGCTAATATAGAGATTATTGTTCTAGTATATGAAAACCAAAAGCTCTTTTTCAGCTTCATTATGGTATCAGAACAACAATGCCTAAAGTTATATTAAATTGGTACATTTCATTGTGAAAGATTTTGGTTTGCTATTCCCCAAAAAACTTGAACATACATTTACAGGAACAAAACATGTTTCTTAAAATTTTCCTTTATAGAATATAAATTATACCTTCATTCAGAACATATAATAGGCATTAGTGTAAGGGAATTTTATCTTGCAACAATGGTACCAGATCAACTAAAAAGGGGAAATGAATTGATGTTTTATTGTTGTTGGGTTTTTTTTGCTTCTAAGATAACATGATTACTGACCTACAGAAAGATAAAATTTGAAAATATAAAAATGAATCACCCAAAATATTTCCTGCATGAAATTCTAAATAATAAGATTTCATTTATGTACTGAAACTGAGAAACAAGTTTTAATCTTCTCAGACATTAAGAAACAAAACAAAATATGAACACCATAAACAGCTACTTTTATAAAAAGCTGTTATCATTATCCAGTGTTCTAACTAGAACATTTTTCAATTGGTTCCGAGCATTATCACCTAATTTCTTTGTAGGACATTATGTTTCTCATTAGTATGTTATAGCCACATAGAAATCCTGTTATTTTATGAAAGGTTGCTTTCATAAAACATCTCAAATGATTTATCATTATAATTATAAAATATGTCATTAAGCCTACGTTATCAAATACTTTTGACTTCAGATATAGTCTTGATTAAATTTTCTCTTTGTACTGTATTAAGAAACTAGAGGCCCAATGCACGAAATCCATGCATGGCGCAGGGGGGGGGGGTCCCCTCAGCTCAGCCTGCATCCTGTCCTATCTGGGACCCCTTGGGGGATCCAGCCTAAACCAGCAGTCGGACATCCCTCTCACAATCCTGGACTACTGGCTCCTAATCGCTCACCTGCCTGCCTGCCTGATCGCCCCTAATTGCCCCCCCCGCTGCCAGCCAGGTCACCCCCAACTGCCCGCCCCCAGCAAGCCTGGTTGCTCCTAACTGCCCCCCCGCCGACCTAGTCACCCCTTACTGCCCCCCCTGCTGACCTGTTCGCCCCCAACTGCCCCCCTCTGCTGGCCTGGTCGCCCTTAACTGCCCCCTCTACTGGCCTGGTTGCCCCCAACTGGCCCCCTCTGCCGGCCTGGTTACCCCTAACTGCCCTCCCCTGCTGGACTGGTCGCCCCCAACTGCCCCCCCTGCTGGCCTGGTCACCCCCAACTGCCCCCCCGCTGGCCTGGTCGCTCCTCATGGGCCCCCCCCCCACAGGCCTGGTCGCCCCACACAGCCTGTTGTGTTGTTTGGTTGTCCCTCACTAACCCTCCTGCTGGCCTGGTCACCCCATGCAGCCTGCTTGTTCAGTCGTTTGGTCGTCCCTCATTAACCCCCCTGCCGACCTGGTCATAGGCAGCCATCTTGTGAGGGTGTGAGGGTGAATTTGCATATTACCTCTTTATTATATAGAATATTCAAAATTCTAATTTTGGCAATAGTGACCACTTCCAGCACACATTATTCTCCTCAAGTATCTACTTACACACAAGCTTCCTACATAGGTTTACAAACCAAGGACTGAGATGTAATTCACCACTGTAGAAACATTTAGCAAATTATGACAATACAGAAGGTGATACATACAGAGCTTCTTTGTAAAGAGATGGCTTCTGAGGCATCAAGCTTCCCTGAGCTTTGTAACTGGCTTAGAATTCCCCAGATTATGAACAGGAGTCCACCCTTTGAAGGTAGCTGCTTAGTCCCTCAACAGGAAAAATATTTACTCTTAAAGCTGTTTTACAACACCAGAAGAGTGTTTCTCTTATAATTCTGTTGTATATATTAGAAAGCTATGAAAACTGTACATTAATAACCCGCAGGAGCTTTCAAAAACTTGAGCACTACATAGCTTTTGCATGAGCTTACACTAAAATATACAAAATGCTCATAAGAATTAGGAAGGGTACACTAAACCTTTGAACTACAGATTATCTTATGTGGAACCTTAGACACATTATGCATGAATATATAAGCATAAACATCAATAGGCACATGCTGGTTCCTTTTACATATGTAGCAATTGAAATGCAGCCAGCATGTCCAAAAGTAACGCCTCATCAGCATAAAGAGGACAAAATCCTTATTGTACCATTCATCTGTTTACAGTGTTGACATAATATCATATCCTCACAGTCCATACTAATCGCTTCTACAGTGAAAACGTGAAAGACAAAGCAACCCACAATTCCAGGTTTAGGCTGCACATACGCATACATAAAGCCAGCAATACTGCAGAAATATTGTTTCAAAACAGCTATGGCATACTCTTGCTCTTCCTTTTAGGAAAAAGATCTGAGTGAGTTGGTCCTCAAATCAGTATTAGGAATTCATTTCTTTCCTTCAGAAAGTGGAACATTGAAATGGACTGGTTCTGAGGTTTGAATCCATGAATGTGTAGCTACAGTGAGGTGACAGGGAACACAGGAGACAACCAAGAGAGAATGAAAGCTGAGAGAAACCAAAGGAAAATACCAAAAGAGAAGTACATAGATCTTCCCTTTAACAGTTAAATAAAAGAACTATACATATTTGAGAAAGCGAGAAAAGATATGGATATGTTATCAGAAAACTAAGGGGTAGAGACACAGAAAAGACCACAAATAATAAGAAAAGTTGTAAGCTGTAGCACAATGAGGAAGAGAAACTTCTGTAAAAAGAACAAATAAAGGATCCCATCCTAAAATTTTCCCTTTGTTATTAACCGGGCAATTCTTGATACAACACTGATGAACTAGTGTCAACTAAACTTTGTTGCTTTTGTTGTTTGTTTTAAAGCTCATGAAGAGTTTTGCCTGGGAATGGTAACTTTAGCTGATTTTTCGCTGTTCATCACCCTGGTATGGAGGACATGATTCAACACTAAATTCAATATTATCTGAAAAAAACCCCACACCTTTAAAGACCCAAAGATTGTAAGAAAAGACTGGAGTTTTGTCAAAGAGAATTAGAGTAATTTCATTTTTCAAAATATTATATATCAATTAAAATTGGGTCTACAAGTAATTTTTTAAATAACATGTCAAGAAATAATTGTGTAAATACACACAAAAGTGCACTAAGATAAACATAACAATACACTTCATAAAAACATGTACTTGAAAACCTAAATAGAAACAAGATTATTTTGTTACACTATCACTTTCTCCAAAAGTCTTACAGCCACTTTTATTCACAAAATAAATATACATAATATTCTGTGAACATATTCTTCTCAGTGATCTGGAGATTACATGTGAGTTTTTCTAATCACATAATCATTTTCCTGAACAAACATGATGTGTTTCCTATAGTCATCCACTAGTATCAGTTGAATAAAAAGCATTTTTTACACTAGTCATATATTTTAATCACACAGAGATCTTTAAAAAAAAAAAAAGGAGTGTCTGAACACCTCCCTATCTTTGGAAAGACCTTCAGAGATTATGGGTAGTCATGGTTGAGGGCCACTTAGACAATATTCTGTTAAGTGTTACCCAAGATTTAGAAGCTTGTTTTTAAATTAATGGCACCAGGGATTTTTACAGAAGTGGCGTACGTA